GAATTTTTAATTTTGGGCATAAATCCTAACCGATTTTATCACAGGGGCTTAAATCCTTTTTTTTTTACCACATGAACTATCTTCTAACTAGCGTATCACCAAGGGGACTATTGTCACATCCCGGCCCGGAGCGGATCACTTCCTGGGTCCGCTGCATCACCGTAGCACGATATTGTCAGCTTTGGGCTTACCATTCCCTCACGATTGTTGTTTTTGGGAACTCACGAGCAATTTCCCAGTGGGTCACCCATCATGGGATTGCTCTAGCCCCCTTCTCGCTTAACTTCAGAGTTCCTACGGAACCTGAAGCCAGTGAGCTCCCAAAAGGCCTCGTGCTAGGTAGAGATAGAAATATATATTTAAGGATCACTCTCCTGAGCGATGTGGGATCTTACAATCCATCTCCCTTAGGGGCCCGACGTCCTCGTTGGCACACACGCCAACGCTAATTAACGAATCAGACCTTGGTAACCCAAGCTTGAACCTGAAACAAAAATATCCTTTCCATGTACAGATGACAGTTCCCACATGTCAGTGAGCTAAGTCCTCGCTCCCAACGCCTACACTAGACTTGTCTACTGTGCGCACATTGTATTGTTAATATACTCTTGCTCGGTTGTCTGCCCACCACTGTTGTGCTTGTTTCTCACTAAATCGCTTCCAACTGCATTCACCAGTGATATAAATTTGAATTACTGTATGAATATACTGATATGGTAAACTTCTATAATGCATATACAATTTACTCTCTCTCTATATATATTATATTTGTATGAACGAAATGCTCTCTTCCAGACAGTGTGGCAACATAAGCAATCTATGAATCCAAATCATTGATTAGGTAGATTCTTCTTGCCTGAAAATGTTGTTGGGGGGGGGGGGTTGTATTCAATTGCGATTTTGAGGGTCCCGACCCGGGGCGGATCACTTTCCGGGCCCGCTCCATTACCGTAGCACGATATTGTCCGCTTTGGGCTTACCATTCCCTCACGGTTTTTATTTTTGGGGACTCACGAGCAACATCCCAGTGGGTCACCCATCATGGGATTGATCTAGCCCCATTCTCGCTTAATTTCGAAGTTCCTACGGAACCCGAAACCAGTGAGCTCCCAAAATGGCTCGTGCTAGGTAGGGATGAAAATATATATTTAAGGATTACTCCCCTAGGCGATGTGGGATCTTACAATCCACCCCCTTAGGGGCCTGACGTCCTCATCGGCACACACGCGGCCAGGGTTAGACTCTGATACCAAATTGTCACATCCCGGCCCAGGGGGACCACTTCCCGGGCCCACTCCACCACCGTAGCACGATATTGTCCACTTTGGGCCCCGACTACGCCCTCACGATTTTGTTTTTGGGAACTCACACAAGAACTTCTCGATGGGTCACCCATCCTGGGAATGCTCTCGCACGCTACTCACTTAACTTCGGAGTTCCCATGGAACCCGAAGCCAGTGAGCTCCCAAAATGCCTCGTGCTAGGTAGAGATGGAAATATATATTTAAGGATCACTCCCCTGGACGATGTGGGATCTTACAACTATTAATCCAATTAAGCCTAAATTTTAAATCAAATTTGCAAACCAAATGATGTAATTGTAATTGATTGAATTATTAACTAAGGGTAAAATTAATGTGCTTGTTTTTTACTAATTTGATTTATAAATTTGCTATAAAAATTTGATCTCCCTCGCATATTTCATGAAACAACTGACATTGTGATCCAACCTATTTATACTCATCACTCTATTAATGTTCATGTTAATTGACAGCCTTAGTTTGTTTGAGTATGTAATATTAGCAAGCGTATCAATACTTCACTTACTACAATACTAGTCTTCATGCACGCATGCAATACTTCACTTACTATAATATTAGGCTTCATGCACGCACTCACGCACATGCAGAATGTATTTTTTGAATCACATCGTGCTACACGCAACTTACACATTTTAAATGTATTTATATGCGCAAATTGACAAAAGAAAAGTCGAATATTTGAGGTAAGTGAATAATCTTAGATCATGCTATAAAAAAACCTCTCATAAACCAATTAAAGCAGCTGAATTCACATAATAAAATTAGTCACTATAGAATTTACAATAAGAATAGAGAAAATAATATTTAATAAAAATTGATTGAATCACATTATTACTAACTCATTGTGAGGCTAAGCCCACCTTCCTCCCTCTTAGTGTGACATCCCACATCGCCTAGGGAAGTAATCCTTATATGTTTATTCACATCCCTACATAGCATGAGGCCTTTTGGGAGCTCACTGGCTTCGGGTTTTCATGGGAACTCCGAAGTTAAGCGAGTAGATTGCGAGAGCAATCCCATGATGGGTGACCCACTGAAAAGTTGCTCGTGAGTTCCCAAAAACAAAACCGTGAGGGAATGGTAAGCCCAAAGCGGACATATCATGCTACAGTGGTGGAGCGGGCCTAGGAAGTGGTCCCCCCGGGACAGGATGTGACAATTTGGTATCAGAGCCTAACCTTGGCCGTGGTGTGCCGACGAGGACGTCGGGCCCCTAAGAGGGGTGGATTGTGACATCCCACATCGCCCAGGGGAGCGATACTTATATGTTTATTCACATCCATACCTAGCACGAGGCCTATTGGGAGTTCATTGGCTTCGAGTTCCATGGGAACTCTGAACTTAAGCGAGTAGCGTGCGAGAGCAATCCCATGATAGGTGACCCACTAGGAAGTTGCTTGTGAGTTCCCAAAAATAAAACCGTGAGGGAATGTTAAGCTCAAAACGGACAATATCGTGCTACGGTGGTGGAGCAGGCCCGAGAAGTGATCCGCCCCAGGCCGGGATGTGACACTTAGTGTAGATAATATCGTTTATTAAGAAAAACAATCATTTGACAACTAATTTAATCACATTATTGTCTGCGTGCGAAAAGACCTTTTTTATAACCAGCATTACATAGTTCTTAAGATGTTTTCAAACGTGTTTAAAAATAGAGAAAATAATATTGAATGAATAACTTATTGAATCACATTATTACTAGCCCATTGTGAGGTTAAGCCCATCTCATCCCCTTAGTGTAGATAATATCGTTTGTTAAAAAAAAAACAATCATTTAACAACTAATTTAATCACATTATTATCAACATGCGAAAGATTTTTTATAACTGGCATTACACGCTTCTTAAGATGTTTTGAATGTGTTTAAAAATAGAGAAATTGAATCACATTATTGATAGCTTATTGTGAGGTACTAATTAAAAAAAACACAAAAAAACAACTATTACAAAAACACTATTAAAATGATGAAAATACCCCTAAGGTGATTGGACCTAATTAAGTTGTCTGAGTCAAGTTTTTACTTGTTATAAGATGATTTAAGTTTCAGTGTATTTTATACCAATAACATGATGTCACGTCTTTCAATTTCTTAGCTATTACCGGGTGATTTAATAGTTCGGGATAAATTTTAGGTCTGTATTTTACACGGCAAGTCTTGAGTTTCATTTCTGATGCTAACGAACCACACAATGATAGCCATATATATGTTAAAATACCTCTGTGAATCTTCTTTACCTCCATAAAAATATACTGACGTGACGAAATTATTAGCTGGTCTCCTTTTTTTATTATTATTATTTTTTAAATTTTAAAAAAAACAGATAATTCTTATTAGTCTGCATACGAGGGCGGCGTTCTAGGGTCTATGTATATTTTGATTTCCCTCAAGAAGGCAGGATATTTCTATGCCAAACTATGAAATTAATTCTCTATCTTGGACGGGGGACTTTTAAATTTTGTGAAATGGTCTTAAAATATGTTAGGAATGTACTACAAATTTAGATACGAAAACTGGAAAATGATTAGACGAATATATTTAAGAGAGAACTCAGTTTCAAATGATTCATTGGAAAAATCATTTTGAAAATCCTTAATGTCCATTTATCCATAAAACCATTGGCATTGACTGATTGACGGCAAGAACAGTTAATTAAGGAAAATGTTTAAACATTGATCGTGTTCTTGAATTTTAACTCCAAACAAAGAACTTATCAAATAAAGCAATTGATTTGTTGAAGGTTTTACTATAATAAGACCTTAATCAAGCAAGAAATCGTCAAGAACAAACAAAGACAGGTAAGCCAAAAATCCTCATCACCACTCCCATCCTATCCCAAGCAAGCCGACCCAAGCAAATAGAAAAATTAAAAAAATATATAAATAAAAACAAAAAAAGTGAAAAAGCAAAACCAACCACAGGATTTCACCCAACTCCGTGGGTCCACAACGCACCTCTATTTCAAAATGAAATATATTAAATCTACAAAACAAAGAATCGAGACTACATATTAATAAAATTCTTTTTGTTAATCAAAAGAAGTAATGAGACATTTTTGTCTTCTATCGCAACAAAAAAAAATAAAATAAATAAGGATAATTACGTAATTTCACAAAACAAAATTGTTGTGTTTTGTTTAAACCTCACCTACAGATAATTGTATCATCTCTAATTTAAAAAAAAATAAAAAACAAACCTCTCTCCCTCTCTTCCCACTCCATGTTTTTTCTCAATCTTTCACCCTCCTTCAATTTTAAAGACAAAAAATAAAAAATATCACACATGCTTTGTGTAAGCATATACTGGTTAGAGATTACAAAAAGGGTGTGATATCCACACACCATTTTTTACTTTTCACACACCTTTTTAATTTTCAGCTGTCAGATCGGATGAAATGAAGAAGATCAACGGACAGAAATTGACAAGAGGTGTATGAGAAGTAAAAAGAGATGTGTGGATAGCAGACCCTTTACAAAAAGTTGGCAAACATAAATAAATATTGACCAAAAACAAAATTTAAGAATTAAAGAAAAGTGACTTTCTTTATTTAAAAAAAGTGACAGACTTGCGTAAGGGGTTTCATTCCTACGCAATGCCCGCGCCTACCGGTTTTCTTCCATTATTAAATTTGAATACCAAATCCAAACCCTAAATTTCTCTCTCCATTATATATCCCCTTACACAATTCAACTCTCTCACACCTTCCTCAAGTCTTCGAAATACCATTTGCTTTTTGCACTCTCTTTCTCTTTTCTTGAGGTCCCCTAAGAATTTGCTAATTTTCTCTCCTTTTCTCATCCGCCATCCCATCTTTCTCTCTCCCCAACCATCTTTTTCCCATCTCCCAAGCAACTTTCTCTCTCTAGAAAAGACATTAGCTAATATTTGCCTCCTTGTCCAACTATATATACCACCTCCCACCACCTCACTTATTGTACTTGCCCACCACCACTTTTCCCCCTAAAACCCTAATCCTTCTCTCTCAACCTTTTTTCCCTTCTGTGTGTCTCTCTCTCTAGAAAACACAATCCTAGATTTGGGCTTTGTTTGTTCCCCCTTTAGAATCAAACCTAAAACCCACTTTTCTATTTTCTCATTGGTGTAGAAAATGGATGACACAAGCAACCACAATAGGAAGCGAGCCCGAGATGACTCGGACAACTCGGAAGCCAATAGCACCCAACCCGATACAAAACTCATCCGAGTCGACTCAAGCAACTCGGTTGCCAGCTCCCACGAGTCGGCCTCCACCGGAGATCAATCGAACAACTCGGATATTAACTCGGGCGAGTCATCGACTCAGACTCCCGACCGAGTTAACTCGGACGCGTTGCGTATGGGGTCGGCGGAGGTCAAGCTGATACAAGACGACCTACTTAACATCCTGGACGACTCGGACGCCGTCCCGGAGATTCAAGACCTTGACTCGGTGATTAAGAGCTTCGAGGAGGAGATACAAGTTCCGGCATTTCCCGCGTCCGAAGACACGTCGGCTTCAGGCGAGTCGACGCAACCAGAGCTTGGTTACCTTCTGGAAGCTTCGGACGACGAGCTTGGTCTCCCACCGACCAATGGAGCAAATGAGGAGGAAAAAATCGAGGCCGCTGATTTCACCGAGAGTGGTTTCGAGGCCTTTGGATTTGATGGCATAGTAGGGTTCGATAACGACATGATTCCAAGCTACGACTCGTTCGATTTCGGAATCGGTGGCGACACTGAATTTATTAATGACAATTATATTGGCGGGGAGGAGTACTTGGCGTTAGGCGGTTTGTTTGATTACTCCGGCGGCGGCGTTTCGGATGATTCGTGGCGGACCGAGTCGCTTTCCGCTTCGTAGAAACGTTTCGGGCGGCATGCCGAAGGGTTTTGGTTAAACCCCCGGCCCGCGGCATGCGTAAAATGGGTTTTGTTTCATTTTACGCGCTAGACATGCAGATGTTCATATGATATAGGTTGTAAAACGTGACAGAAAGCAAGGGAAATGGAAATTTTGTGGATTTGAACAAAACATGGTGATATTGTTTTACTTCTTTCTGTAAGATGTTACTTGGCACAAAGATATTCGTTCTAATTTTTTTATGCAGTTCATATTTCAAAATATCTTTAATAGATATTCGTTCTAATTTTTTTTTTTTTATATAGTTTCATGTATCAAAATATCTTTAATAACTGTATGCACATAAGAATGCATAGACCTATTGTTGGTTCTAAAAATTACAAAACCTACGTGGCGCGCAGGCCGAGTAACTAATAAGCTAACTACGTCCTTCGGTTGAATACGGGGCGTGCCAACTCGTCGGCCGAGCTCGGCCGAGGAGTAAAATTTGATGATGTCGCGTTGAGCGCGTTGTTGACTTCTGTATCTTGCGCTTGCGACCGAGGAAGGAACGCTCTTGGTCTCTGGGTTCTATAGCCTGAAGACAAGGCTACTAATTCTACAGAGTTCACAAATCGTCGGAGCCTGATTCGGTCACTGTGATTATATTCGTAAGAGTATAAGCACGCCAAATCGAGACCAAACTATACGGGCACAGGTACTCGAATGTGATATATGTCTTGATGGTAAACGTAGTTCGGCCGTTGGAATGCCGAACCCTGAAACTTACTTGCGAGTATCCAATCATAAAATCACTCGGCGTCCAATGCGCCGAGCAATGCAATTCGTAACACCCAACTATGCCGAAAAGGCTAGTAAGATGACCTCTACCAATAAGGGTTCGAAAACCCTTCTCGGCCGAGACTTAGATAGATAATCGGTCGACCTCGACACAGTGCTGTTTATCCAAACTGAAGGTGCTCCTCGGTCGGCTGATTCTGCGGCAGCAATGCTGTTTATCCAAACTGAAGGTGTGTCGGCAGGAAAAGAAAAGGAAAAATCTCAAGGTGTTTGAGAGGTTTTGCGCAGGGCAATTGTATGCTGATTTTTGAAGGCCCTTTCTATTGCGTGATTTCTTGTATTTATAGCACCCCATTCCTTGAGACCAATTCGCATTTTGATCCGGATTGGGAGTCCTTGTCCCATTTCACCTCTAACTCGAACAATCCTACTCCTACTGGGATTCTGAATTTTCCTTCTTTTCGAGACTCCATTCCTTGCTGGTCGAGACTTCTGGTCGCACCAGGACTTCCTCGACCTTTTCTATTCATCTGGACTACTTAGGATAGGATTTGGCTGACCCTGCCAGCTGGCCTGGGTTTCATTATTCGGCCCATAGTATTTGTCATCACCTTGGGCCAAGCACATCTTGCTGCTCGGCCCAACCATAGTATTTTGGGCCCAAACACCTATATATTTATAATAATTCTGATATTGTATAGAAAATTTATGTATTAATTAGTGATTTGGATAGTATTCAACTGATATTTTGAGAGGTTCTAATTTGTTTAATGAATTCAAGAATATTGAAATTAGGATTTTAAGTGATTAAAGCAGGCATCCAATTAAGATTCTAAGTTGGTTTATTAAAATTCTTATAAATTTTGATGTATTCACTTAGGATCCAAAAGAGTTTAAATAAAATATAATTTTAGCCCTTAAAACTCAAGTTTCTTTACATAAAACCCGACATAGTCTTTTTACTTGAATAAAACTTAATGACTAGGCTCTACATAAACAAATTCATCAATTCTGTTTGGCTTTACACATTTTGCATTTTCCAGATGTCTAAAATACCCCTAATTACAATTTTAATGTAATACATTTAATTCTATGCAGATTTGAAGGGAGGAATTACTAGAAAAAAAATGTATTAATGTTTAAATTCATTTCATATTAATATATCATAACAAATTGTATGTTAGTGCTTCTAGCAAAAAATAAATAAATAAAACATTAATGTTATACTTTCCTTTATATTTCATAACTGTTTGGACATGTGTTAGTAATAAAATTCCTAATATGTGTAATAATACATGCAAATAATTTACAAAATAAAAAAATTATTTAATTCAATATTAATTTATCTACATTTGATATAATAAAATATAATTGCACATATATATTACTAAAATATGCCCAATATATGTAATAATGCATGTAAAATGATTTACCTACAAAATAAAGGTATGTAAGTTGATTAAAAATAATATATCTACTACTTTTTGTTTATGAATTTTAATTTACCTATTGTTTTTTTTGTACAAACATAATGTACCTACAATATATAATTCCTACTAAAACTAATATATATTTGCATATATATAGTAAAATGTGCCCGGTATATGTAATAATGCTTTTAAAAAAATTACCTACAAAATAAAGGAATGTAATTTGATTGAAAGGATAATATATGTACTACTTTTTGTGTATGAATTTCAATTTTTTTTTTTTTTAAGAAACATAATGTACCTAGAATATAATTTACCTATCGTTTAATTCTTATAAGTAAATAATGCATTTATAATTTACCTATTTTTTATTCTAATAAAAATTTAATTTACTTATTGTCACATCCCGAGCTCGACTCCGCCATAGCACGATATTGTCCGCTTTGGGCCCTGACCACGCCCTCACGGTTTTGTTTCTGGGAACTCATACGAGGACTTCCTAGTGGGTCACCTATCATGGGATTACTCTCGCACGAACTCGCTTAACTTCTGAGTTCCAATGGAACCCGAAGCCAGTGAGCTCCCAAAAGGCCTCTTGCTAGGTAGAGATGAGAATATACATATAAGGCCTACCACTCCCCTGGGCGATGTGGGATGTTACAATCCACCCCCATTAGGGGCCCGACGTCCTTGTCGGCACACTTCCGACTAGGGATTGGCTCTGATACCAAATTGTCACATCCCGGCCTGGGCCCCAACCACATCCTGGGCTCGACTCTGCCATAGCATGATATTGTCTGCTTTGGGCCTCGACCACGCCCTCACAATTTTGTTTCTGGGAACTTAGACGAGAACTTCCCAGTGGGTCACCCATCCTGGGATTGCTCTCGCGTGAACTCGCTTAACTTCGGAATTCTGATGGAACCCGAAGCCAGTGAGCTCCCAAAAGGCCTCGTACTGGGTAGAGATGAGAATATACATATAAGGCTTACATGATCCACTCCCTTGGGCGATGTGGGATGTTACAAATTGTCACATCCTAACCCGGGCCCCCACCACATCCCGGGCTCGACTCCGCCATAACATGATATTGTCCGCTTTGGACCCTGACCACGCCTTCACGGTTTTGTTTATGAGAACTCAGACAAGAACTTCCCAGTGGGTCACCCATCCTGGGATTGCTTTTGCACGAACTCGCTTAACTTCGGAGTTCCGATGGAACCCGAAGCCAGTGAGCTCCCAAAAGGCTTCGTGCTAAGTAGAGATGGGAATATACATATAAGGCTTACATGATCCACTCCCCTGAACGATATAGGATGTTACACTTATGCTTTACATATAAATATAGATATATTATTTTTGACACGCGTATATAATAACAAATCAAAATGGCTAATGTAGGTAATAATCTGTGTAAAATAATTTACCAACAAAATAAAAGAATATTAATTGATTCTTTTTATTTTATTTTATCAAACAATATTATTTGATGCAAAATAACTTATTATACAAAGGATCCTTTCTTTTCATACAAAAAATATGCCTATAATTGTTTATGAATATGGGTATATATATTAATAATATTTATGAAACAAAAAAGGTAAAATTTCCATATGGGGTTAATTGCTAATCATAATTAGGGTGAGTAATAATATTTATTAACACTAGTATATGGGCACACAAAGTGTGAGAAAATTTTTTATTTTTGTTTTTAAAATAGAAGGATAGAGGAAGAGAATGATAGAGAATGGAGTGGGAATGTTTTTTATTTTTTATTTTATTTTATTTTTTAATTAGGGATATGTTAGGATTACACGTAGGTGAGATTTTGAAAAAAAAACAACAAAATTTAGTTGTGTGAAATTACATTTCTGCCCTACATTTCTTATTCATGTTCTATTTTAATTAGAGAGTTGGATTTCACAGGATTTTGGTTGACAATACGTGTTTTATTAATTAATAGAGATAATTAGGGTTTTGTGGCATAAGTTGTAAATATGTTGTAATAATTGGTTATATATATTTATCTAGATTGTAGTCTATTTGAAATTTGGGTTTTATTTGAATGTTTAATATTAGTTGGGTTTTTGTTTGAAAATAGGAGTTTCAAGGGTTTTCTCTAAAGAACCCAAGGGTTTATAATATTTTATGTATACTCAATTAATAAAAAGTTGAGGAATTTGAGTAAATTTCTCCACATTGTGTTTTCATATTTCACCTTAAATCTTGAGATTTTGAATGAGCTAAATTAAAATTTTACATAGAATCTCTACAAATCAAAACTCCATCAAAATCTATGAATTTATCAATCCATCAAAATCTCAATTGAACACAACTCCTAAATTAGTCTGTTATGACTTATTTTGAGTGAATCACGGCTGATTTTGTTTTCCCACGACTGTGAAAAATGTATTTTGAATTTTGTGGGGGTGTGATTCAAAAATAGGAGGGAAGGGATGGTGGGGTAGGTCCTTCGACGTGAAGAGCTTAATGGTTTTGCTATCGTTTTCATGACTTCTTTTTTCAAAGCACAACTAAAATGCTCATATCTTTGAAACAGTGCAGATGAAGATAGTAATGGAGGTCGTTGATTATATTTCAATTCTCAAGAGGACATAGGTGTAGATTTAGCATTTCTTTTCCGACTAATCAGGTGATTTTCATACTCATAATTTACTTTTACAAGTGCAAGTTCGTATCACTTTTTTTAGAACAAGTATGATATTTATTAAAGATATCAAGAGTTCATACAAAGAGAATAGAACTGAAAATAAAAGTAAACTTCTGACCAAAAACCAAAAGTACAATCTTGTTGGGGCTTTCAACCGGACTCAGGGTAAAAAGAGGTCACCACTATAAACTTTGGAAATAAAAGTAACAAAGCAATGTTGGTTTTAGGGTTTTGTTTCCTTGCCTACTAGGCTAGGTTGGTTAGTTATATATATAGCTTCTTCAGTTTGTAGTTGTCTCGGCTTTCTTTGTTTCTTCATTAATCAAATAATCTTTATAGTTTGTTCGTATGTTCGTTAGTGTAATATGATTTTAAACTAGCAAGACTATCCTCCAATAATATATCTGCTAATATGAAACACTATTTTTCTGAAACACGATAATGAAATACAAATTTCATATCTAATTGGTTGCTCGCCAACAAATCAAGGTAGAACAGAATCAAATGCGGGAATCAAAATGTGGTGGATTCTTACATCATTTTTATGGTGTTTTTAAAGTTTATCCATCCAAAATTAATTTGAATTCAATAGTGTAAGCTGTTGAGAGTGAATTTTATATCGGAAATTAAAAAAACTCGCATGTGGTAATAGTAATTGGATTTATATGTAATGCTAATTGGTTTTATGGTGGAAACTCAACTCTCTTTATTAGCATAACAACAAAAAAAACAATCAGGATTAGTTAAAAAGATTGAGAGTCATTCACAACCACTGATGAAGGATTCCTAACAAAGTTTAAGGATTAGGTAACGTTTTTAGAAATTGAATGGATTATGTGTTATACAAACACGAGGAAGGTAATCAAAAAAGGAAAAAGATGAGTTCTTATTTCATCACTTAGGAATTGTGCGAGATGAAATGATTTTGAATGAGAGAAAGAAGTGAGGTGACAAGGGAGGCCAACAACTTGGACAACACTCTTGGACCAACAACAACGCTTAACGAGTAGCAAACAACTCAACCTCGAACGCAGAACTAGTCTTTCCACTAAAGCCAGTTGCAGCTGCTAAGAGAACTCTTTCATGATCCTGCAGAACAACCCCAAGCCACCTCTCATCTCATGTTGAACCCAGGCACCATCAAAATTGCATTTAACCCAGCCAACACTGGGCTTACTCCACCGTTAGACAGGACGGTTGGATTTCTTCGAAGCCGACTTGTGTCATTTTTGATACTCCTGCAACCAACTCTCCGACCGGACCACCACTTCCTGTGGCGACAACCCTGCTTCATTCCACACCACATTATTCCTGTTTTTCCATAGCATCCAAATGATCATCAAATGTAGCTTAAAACCCGAGGAGGAAGATTGGATATAACCATTGCAGAAATTGTTGATCATCTCTATCGACAGATCGAAAACCCAGCCCTCCAAACCACGTAGCCTTAGCCAAACTACAATCTCTTAACACGTGTTCTGTCGATTCATCAAACGACCCACAAAGCACACAGAGTCTCTCCATAATCACTTTCTGTTTAAGAAGATTTAAATTTGTAGGAAGAGCATCCAAACATGCCCTTCATGCACAAATCTTTACTTTCCCTGGTACACAAGCATTCCACAGCTTCCTCCATAACCTGTCGCGGCCATCATCCAACAAATAAGCACAGATGCTCACACCATCCCCACCCTTAGATACAATCTCCCTCGCAACATGATAAGCACTCCGCACCGAGAATTTCCCATGACGCTCGTAGTGCCAAACTCGTCTGTCTCCAACCGTCCGGAAGCTTAACGGAATATGTAGGATTCGCTCCATCTCTTCCTGAAAGAATAACTGTTGAAACAGCTCAACATTCCAATTCTGCGAATGTGACACTATAAGCTTGTCCACTGTAACCTCCGTATCCCAATTCACCGGTGGAGGACTTAGCACTTTAAAATATGAATCTTTCGGTAGCCAGTTATCATGCCAAATCTTGATATTCACCTCATCTCCCACTTGCCAACAATGCCCCTTAATTATCACATGCCTTGCAGCCGCAATACTCCTCCAGACATACGACCCATTGGCATTAACCAGAGCATTAAGAAACTCAGTATTTGGGAAGTACCACGCCTTAAACACATGATATGTGAGGGACTCAGGTTGGTGGGTAAACCACCAAGCTTGTTTCGTCAATAGTGCTAGGTTGAAAGCATAAAAGTCCCTAAATCCCAACCCACTTTCAAATTTAGGCTTACACAGTTGTCTCTAGTTGAGCCAATCGATTTTCCTCTTACCCAGATCAGCACTCCACCAAAATCGTGCGATCATTACATTCACTCATTCAGTTCTTCATAGAACGATTTGGAAAGAACCAAGCATTGCATAGAATACATAGGGACATTTAGTTGTCTCTAGTTGAGCCAATCGATTTTCCTCTTACCCAGATCAGCACTCCACCAAAATTGTGCAATCATTACATTCAGTTCTTCATAAAACGATTTGGGAAGAACAAAGCATTGCATAGAATACATAGGGAGTGCTTGAACCACTGTCTTTACAAGCTTCTCTTGACGTGCACATCTCAACAAGCCCCCACGCCAACTTTGAAGTTTCTTCCAAAACCTATCCTTAGCATACGAAAAAGCTTCATTATTTGACTTTTTATAAGGACTGGTAAACCTAAATACCCATTGTGAAATCCACTATCTTCACTCCCAAACAATTAGCAATGAGGTTTGGCGACACACCTTAATACCCTTCAAAACGCCATCAGCTTCTGCCGTCGTGAGGAGAGCCGATACACCTTTGGCACACATAACAAATAAATAGGGGGAAAGTGGATCCCCTTTTCAAACTCCCCTATCAGGTTGCACATACCCAACTGGATCACCATTCAGCTTGAAAGAATAGGTCACGGTAAACACACATATCTTTATCGTATGGATCCATCTTGAAGAGAAACCCATGCGCCTCATTATAGCCTCCAAAAAACTTCAATCTAGTCTATCACACGCCTTGCTAATATCCAGTTTCAAAGCCATAAGCCCACTCAACCTCGAAGCCCTTTTATGCATGTAGTGAGCAACCTCCGCTGCTACTAAATAATTATCTGAAATCAACCTTCTTGGAATGAAAGCACTCTGAGTAGATGAATTGATAAGAGGGAGAATAGTCTTCAATCTATTCGCTAAAACTTTCGCTAAAATTCTATACAACACATTAGAGAGGCTACTAGGACGTAACTGAGACATCTTAGTTGCCTCTTTGACTTTGGGAATCAGAGTAATGTGTGTCTAATTGATTTTGCTAAAGATATGCTCCCATGACACCATTTCTCGAATGCCATTACAAACATCAGCCCCTACAGTCGCCTAATGCTTTTGATAGAAAACCAGGTGACATACCATCAGGACCAGGAGCCTTAGTGGGATGCATTTGAAAAACAACACATTTCACCTCCTTATCCGTGATAGGCCTCCCAAGTTCAGAATTCATCTATTCCGTAATCGACGGTGCAACATTGCATAGAATATCTTCAAAATCAACAACCTCATTAGACTTGAATAATGTGGTAAAATAATTAACCACCACACGTTCCATACCCCCTCGGTCCTCATGCCACAAACCCTTGTCATCTAACAGCCCATGTAGCCAATTTAGCTTTTGTCTTCTATTAGCTTTCTGGTGGAAGTACATAGTGTTGCGATCATCGAGCCTGACTCAATCCTCCTTCGCCCTTTGGCGCCAAAATAATTCCTCTTGTTCAAGCAGAAATTCAACCTTCCAATATGGGATTTCTTTTGTTCAATAAACTCTACCGTGAAAGGATGACCCAACAGACTGGTAAACTTGTCTTTAGCTTCCCTAATTTCTCGCGGCCTTGTCCTGGCATTACTACAAGCCCAATTTGTCAACATCATCCTTGTTGCTTTAATTTTCTCCGTAACCTGAAATATTGGCGAGCCCTCCACATTTAAATCCTATCCATTTCTGACCACCTCAGAACAACCCTCGTGCATGTTCCAAGCCTCATCGTACCAAAAAAGTCTCTTTCCTTGGTTAATATTACTTCCCTCCCAAGTTAATAAAATTAGAACATGAACATAATAAGTCTTATTTAAATAATGCATTCTAAATTATGGGAAAAGATCAATCCACTCCTGAGAGCCCAATGCACGGTCTAACCGCACCTTAATACCACCGCATCTCGTAGTGAACCAAATGTACTTATTCCCAAAGTAGCCTAAATCAATGAACCTACACTTCTCCATTATGTCCCGAAAACCCTTCATCTGTCCATTACTCCGAGGATTTCCCCCTTCATGTTCATTAGATTAGAGAATCTCGTTAAAGTCACCGATACAGAGCCAATGATGAGTCGTATTCCCACATAAGGTGCCAAGTAGCTGCCAAGACCTAGCCCGACCACTCTCTGCTAGAAAACCATAAAATCCAGTAAACCTTCAATTCACATCCCCAGGCACCCCAATATCAAAATATACATGATTCTGCGAATATAACCACAAGTTTAAGTTGAGTTCATCCTTCCACAGCACACACAACCCACCTGAGATACCTCTACTATCTACTGTAAAACTTCTATCAAACTTCAATTTCAATCGTAGACGTTTCATCTGACGAGCATTACTTTTAGTCTTGCATAGGAACACTACCATGAGATCTTTACTATGAATTAGGTGTTGAAGTGCATGAACTGCACGGAGGTTCCCAAGCCCCCGGCAGTTCCAACTCAAGCAACTTATTTATTCCGGCAGGGTTGATCTCTGTCAACCTCCGCTAATAAAATAATAGACTCCACCTTATCCATGAGTTTCCTACGTCATCTGGGAGGGGCCTCAAGCTCCTGACCTTCCCTTTGAAGACGTTTTCCAAGCTTTGGTAATGGCGACCTAAGCTTATCTTAGGGAATGGATAGCAAGCTACCCATTAGAAAACCACCATTTCTGTGATGTGTACGTGATTTCTTCCTTCATTTCTGTTGAAGCTGCTCAATAATAGGCATTGAAAGGATCCGAGCCCAGTTCAAAAGTCCCAACCTTAGAAAAACCCGAAGCGTCTGCCAACTGGTTATGGTTCACACTGTGGTCCATAGGGGTAGATTGCTGACTCGGCCCTGATTGGGAGAAAAGTTGAGGCCCACAAAGTTCCAACCCACTATTGGCCACCCCCGGGGAGGGGGGACCCATAGCTTAATTGAGGCTTATGATTAGGGGAAACGTCCTCACCAACTGGCATAACATTCAAATCAAACCCAAAAAATCGTAAACCTCCATAACTAGAAGACCTTAGTCGTCTTGAGAAGAGAACCTTCATTATCATCAATCACCACTATTCACTGCTTCTCTATGGTCAGCGCCAACCGCGCTGCAAAGTTCTCTACCATGTTGTCCATGAACCTTTGGACGACTCGCCAACTACGATTGACTGCCCACCAAAACTGGTCTCCAACAAGCTGGACAAGCCGGACTAATATCTAATGGGACACAAGATCCGTAAACACCACAAATCCCTAAACACCACAGATTCCAAAGGTTTAACTTGACTTCAACGCTACCACCGGACTCTGACTTGCCGTAGCTCTCCTAGTGATACTTAGGAAACACTAAGAAGCCCTATAGAGCATTTCCTATTTATTTTGATCCAATCCAATTATAAGTTTAGGGTTTAGCTATATATAAATACACAAATTAAGGAGATTTACTTCCTATAAGCAAAAAATAAATTTAATTACACCTAATTTATTTCAGTCTTCCACATTTTATTGTGTAATTACAGTAATCAAACCTTAAACCTAACTTACAGGCTGCTTCACCATTTTGGATCACCACAAAGACTTGTTCGATTTCTTTATCGTTAACAAGAGCTAGAAAAGTTATTAGAATTACAGGCTTAGTGTAATTTTCTTTTCATTTGTAAAGTGAGAATTTTTAAGTTTGATTTTCACAAGAATTGACTTTGATATTAAATTATTATGACAGACTTATTGTGCGACTTTAATACAAATCTCATACCGTTTAATATAAAATGTTGTTGCATAATCCCTCACTTCCTAATGTAAAATATCGTTGAATAAAAAAAAATATGGCTTCTTTTTTTCTTTTTTTTTTAATCTAAAATGGTCCATGAGATTGACATAATTCTTTATTTTGGTCCATGACAATAAAAATTGGTAAAAGTGGTCTCTAAATTTGTCCACTATAAATTATTTTGGTCATTTCCTGAAAAATTTGCCAATAGCCTCACTATATTGTCACATGAACGACCATGTGAGCACATTTATAAGGGTATTTTTTGTCAAACTAACCCCTCCACTTAACGAGGATATTGACAGATTTTCACGAAACGACCAAAATTATTTATGATGGACAAACTCAAAGACCACTGCTATCGATTTTTATTGTTACGGACCAAATTGAGGAGATGTTAATTTCAGGACCACTTTGGTCAATCAAATTAAGTATGAGAAAATAAACAATACACCACATCACTGCTTGGGCTCATAAGATGGAACAATAGTATACTAACTGGACCAAAGTGGACGGACCGGACGATCCAATATGGAAACAAATCTGGTCAAGTTTATAGAAAAACATCCATTATCATCTTCCCACACTCATTATCTCATCCACACACGCTGAAGAGATATTTGCACTCTGATCATTTAGCTTTGAGCTGCTAAGAACACAGGGATTCTCACTTTCCTCCCTCATGGCTCTAGCCATAGCCAACAGTGGAAGTTCCACCGGCGGAGCTAGAGTCCTTTACAGCAGCTCCACCACCAGACAGTATCCCTACACCAACCTCTCCTCACAACGCCAGCTCCTCTTCCCTCCCTCCTCCAGAAGAGCCCTTCACGTGGTGGCAGCCAAGAGATTCACGTCCAGAACTGGAAGGACCGACGGCAAGAACAGGAGGAGCAACACAACCACCAGAGACCAAGAACAAGAGATGATGGGGTCGCAACGAACGGCTGAGATTGAAAACGTCGGTGGTGGGGCTGTGGGAAACGTTGATGATGGGTATTTCTTGCCTAAGCTTCCCGGGGATGAGCCTTGCTTTTGGGAAGGTGAAAAATGGGACTGGCTTGGATTCTTTGTGGAGTACTTGTGGGCTTTTGGTATTGGCTTTGCGGTATGTTCACTACTACTCTTGGTTAATTCGTTCATCAATTTTTGTCCTTAATTTAATGTTGGGTGTTTATGTTCAATGATTCGTATGTAACAAATCGATGATTTCAAAATAATTTAGATTTTATTAATGAACCGTCTATTTATATGGTACTTATGAATCAACTAAACAATTACCAATTTGATTGATTCTTTTGCTAGAATGATCCTTAAATAATGAATAAAAACAAATAGATCCAATTATAATTGAATACTACGAAAGTTCGTTAATCACAACTTGATAGGCACTAGTTAAGGGTGTACTTCTTTGTCGATATATAAACTGCAATGCGGATAAATTAAAATACATAACAATGCATGATTAGATTAAAATACCGTAATTGTGGCATTCCTTGTACGTAAATTTCCCGCCCACTTACGTTCTTTACAAATTGAAGGCTAATGTTTGACCCCCGGCCGTTTGTTTGTTTTTGTTTTTCCCTGCAGCTTATTGCTTGTTTAGTTGCTGCTACTTCTTACAATGAAGGAGCAACTGATTTCAAGGAGACTCCAGTCTACAAAGATTCGTTCCAGTCTCGGGAGTTTTTGGAAGAACCGGAGGCATCCAACCCGGATGTCTTCGAATCCAACCCAACCGAAGTGGCTCCTAGTTTGGAATAGTTTCTCAATGAAATACGTGATACAATCCTAGGCAAGCAAACATTCTGTCGTAGTTAAATATCTCTGTTTGTAAGGTGACTTTCCACATCTAAACATCTTTTGTTTTCTTTCTGAATTGTATTTTATGATCTTGTACGATGTTTATCAAATTGTCAGAGATAGCATTATTTGTGGATGTATCTGTTTGAAGTAGAGAAAACTTGTGTGTTACCGGGTGTATACACGTGTGTCTACGTCTCTCATCACACACGGGTGTATACTTCCGGTAACAGGGCATAATCTCTGCTCCCTGTAGGCCGGTCTGTCATCTCTGGTTTGCACCATCGAAAAACAGTTCCACAACACTTAAACAAAACCTAAGTAAGCTGAGATCCCATATATAATTTGACAGTCACCACTGTTTTTATTCAAATCAATAGAAGTTAGATGCTATCTAAATAAAACCGTAATGAAATAAACTCTCGGTCCTAAGTTATAAGTAAAATCTCTAAACACAACATAAAAAACCATCCAGATATTAATATGGTGGTATAAATATGATCATGTTCAAAATGGAACTCCTGCCACCGGAAAACCTGCCACAGCGAAAGCCACTGCAAGATAACTTCCCATCTTCAATTTGGTCCCAGCATTTGCAGTTCTGCTAAAACCTAACCCCATCGTGGTGGGTATTTGTGCAGTTTGAGGCATTGGAGTGGCTGAAATCCCAAAAAAAAATTGCAAGCCCGAATTCAAGAACTTAGAGGGGATAGTAAAAAGACTAAAATAAGCGAACTCAAATTACGTTTAGATTGTTATTTAATTTTTGAGGCATTATATATTTTGTAAAATTAGAGGGATTGCACAAGAGTTAGACATTTTTATTACCAGCAATTGTAGAATTAGCAGCAGATGAGTTGGTGTTTTTTCCCAGAGGGGGATTTTGAGAACTAGGTGAACTAGGAGGCACAGGTACAGGTATCCCTGCGCCTGCAGCAAAAAGTTCGAAAAAAGATTAGAATAATATGAATTCATGTAAGATTATGTAATGACACAGAACAGTGAACAGAGCTGGACTCAGAATCGAAAAAAAAAAACCCCATTTTTCTTCAAAATCAGAAGTTACCCGAACAAGTAGAGATGTTGACTTGAAGGCTACAAACAACAGGAAGCTGGAGAGCACGAGTGGTGTTGATAGGGAATGTGCTCACAGTAGTATCGTTGAGGAAAAGGCAAAGGCACTCTGGCTGCTGGCTGTAGAGCAGCTTGAGGTTGTCACAGCATGATTGTGCGGGCGACATGGCAATGCCTTGCACGAATGGCACACATGGGGCCAGTGGAAGAAGCTGCGTGGTGCATTGAGCAATGGTAGGGTTTTGTGAGAGGACGGGTGGCGGAAGGGAAACGAGAAAGAGGAGTAGAGTCAGAGAGGAAATGGAGAAAGGATCTTGAAGTAGAGAGCTGTTAGGGGAAGCCATTGTTGTGTTCTCGTGTAGAAGAGTTTAAAAATGACCAAATAAGGTGTAAATTAAATAGACGAATTCTGCATGTTTTGAATGTGATGAGTTTCTTCTGCATGTATGGTGTGTGTTATTCTCTGCATGCATTTCTTGCTGTCTTTTGAGTATCTGTTGCTACATGCACTTCTTGCTCGAGTTCCCTAATAAATTTTGTAAATTGACCTCAATATTTTGCTTGTGTCTTTGCAAGCTACTATTTCACAACTCCAGATGATATAAAACAAACAATATGATCAATTAAGAAATTGGTACTTTTCAATACCTTAGTAGGGTTAGGGTTTAGGTCGATTGCAAAGTGCTAAAGTTTCGAGAGATTGGTCATGTGAACAATACTGAAATTCAAGTCCTCCAAGGATATGAATTTTGATTTTATCTCCTTGTTTAAAGAATATAATCCAATTTCAAATAAGGGAGCTAGCTAGAAGGATCACTATCCAAAATAATCAAGCACAAAAAGAAAATCATTTGCGCAGTTAATATGATTTAATTGTTCTACCTACAAATTAAAAACGTCACTTTCTTCCCCACGTACGTTCTCCATGTAAATACTGGATAAAACGAATTTCTCCAACATAAAGGTGATTGCAGTGAAATCATTACAGTCGAACCACTTCTGTTTCATGATTCTGATTTGCTACTTACAATTTTCCACGATAACTACTACAAGGAAAGGAAATATGAGCAAGAAATATTTAAGGCCATCAATGGACTCACCATTTTTGTCAACTTCAAAATGAATTCCTGTCAATTTCCTCTGCTGTTACGCAAACTTTGGCGTCTTGCTGTCCTAAAGCTTATGCAGCTCAAAATCATACAGATAAAAATTTTCAATCAAATATCTGATTCGATTAATTGGTAGGTGAACTGAAGCTAAGCAGATTTAATTAACGCGGTTAGGTAATTAGCTGCTATATATATATATATATCACTATTCTATATGTGGTGATGGTATAATGGTTTATTATGGCTTATCATTTCCTGTGCTGATAGATCAACAAAGCAAAGTCATGTCTCCTACTTCATTGGCTAAGAAGAAGTTTGTTCCAATGAGAGGCCACAAGAAGGCCAGTAAAAGCCGGCTACTTCCTCCAACCGGCTCTTCTGCTAGAACCAGTCCAGAGATGCAGGAAGTGGTTATAGGTGCTGATTTTCGATGCAGCAAGTGTCGAAAGAGCGCATCCCAGGTGATATCGGATGTTGATGGTAAGAGTTCTTTAAAACCTTTAAACTGTTCTGCCACTCAATCAAAAAAACTTCTAATGTACTCGTTGATGAGGTTTTGCATTTCTTGCAGATGTGGATTCCATGGCGGTACATCTTTTGGATAAGAAGGTTACACTCACTTGTAAACCAGTCCGTAAAGGATCTCTAAGGAAAATCTCGGCCTTCAGCGGAAAACTATCTCACAGAGCCTTAAGGACTGCGAGGTTTTATACGCGTCACTGATTCCGCCAAAAAATCGTTTCTGATAACGAATTGCCCTATGCATGTAAAAATACCTAGTATTTGTGTTTCCTAAACCCTTAAGTTATGATCATCATCTGTAATGTTGGCCGAGGTGGTGTTACAATAAAAATATCCTTAGGCCTATCCTAAATAAAGGGACACATGAAAAGCAGGTCTCCGATCACACCTTCTCTTAATCCTAAATGATATGCAACTGTTGGGGCATAAAAATGCTGAGAGTTGTTTTATGTCGATGAGGGACAACGTTTGTTTTATACTTATATGAACTTAAACTACTTCTCATATTACCAATTAATTTTATGGTAAAACCTCAATTTCATCACTAAACTTCGACCCCTATTTCTTTCTTTCTTCAAAAAAGAAAAAATAAATCTAGCCAAAAATAGACTCTTGCAGAAAAGAATCAAAATAATATGATATGCTTCTTGGGACTTAAAAAAACTTCACTACTTTCAAGATGTTTATCTCACAAAAAATAAAGTAATGTAACGAAATTGATAAGCAAGAAAAAGAAAAAACATTCAAATTATTATACAAAATTTTTATTCACTTACAAACTTAATACAAAAAAAACACTCAAACACCCTTACATTTCTTCACTCTTTTTCTCACTTCTTGCTCTATTACATGGCAACACACACACACACACCCCCCTATTTATAGGTGTGGTTTTGCCGACTTGAGTATTGTTTAACAACCACACAAATTGCTAGCTTTGGTCTTTCTAGAAAAGACTACATTAGAGTTTAGATATTTCTAGATGGCTAGAAAAGACTACATTAGATATAGTTTAGATATTTCTAGATGGCTAGAAAAGACTACATTAGATATAGTTTAGATATATAGTTTAGATATTTCTAGATGGCTAGAAAAGACTACATTAGATATAGTTTAGATATTTCTAGATGGCTTAACAGACTTGGGCTTTGCCGGATATATTTTGATATGCGTGTATTCCACCGACATGCTCTTGCTAGAATTATGTAGCATTTGCATGAATCATCCATTGTGCTTGTGTGCCTTTTCAACATGGGTAAGACTCGGTTCGAGACAAGATTATAATTCAACAATAACAACGTAAGATTTATATGTAAATATGGTACTTATTAAAAATAAGCTTGAATACAGCTTCTTATAATTAGAATGTTTATATATTTTTGATATGGTCTGGTATGAAATGAACTTATAATCATAGAATTGACTCGATCGTCAGATATAATTTTATAAATCATAAGTTCATAATATACGTTGGCGATTTCCATTTTGGATGGAACAAATTAAACTACTGATTCTTCGATTCCAGTTATTAATAGGTTCCCTACAAGCAGCCTAGAAATTTTTAACATAAAATTAGATATACACTCAAAAGCATCATGATATACATTGAAGATGACTAGAAAATCAAATATGATTTGTGTAAAACAAGCCTATACAGCCATTTCTTATATTGGCCGTTCCTTAATTCTAAAGGCAAGATTAGAGAGATAAATAATACAAAAGAGAGAATTTTGAAATCCCAAAAGGAAACCATTAATTAGAGTCAACTAAACTTTCCACATTCACCAGGATTAAAGCATTTACCATGAATTTGGAAAGGAAAAAAAGTGTATTCAGAAAGGTGATGCTTTTCCATTGGCATATATACAGTTATATGCGCTTCTGAAAGCAAGAAAGTTATTATGCCCTAAGCTTAGTGCACACGGGAAGTCAGAAAAGTTATAAAAAACAATGCAAACATGTCAAGAATATAATGGAAAAATCTAGCCACATTGCCAGCGGATACATATATACATATACATATATATACATATACATATACATATACATATATATACATATACATATATATATATATATATGTGTGTGTGTGTGTGTGTGTGTGTGCATCTTTACTGGGTGGAAGAATCAGATCCCAAGATGAACAGTCCATGAATTAATGAATCAACAGAATCAATGTAACCAGCTCATGACACTCTCCATTCATCCTTTTTCGTTTTCTATAATATCACAATGCATCATTGCCTTTAATATCACCATTTTTGTCGTCCATTCGAGAGTTTTGGATTCTGCAGCAATAGTACACATCTCTCTCTCATTACGATTTCATGGCAGACAAGGTATGCTTCAATTGACATTTTTTTGGGGTCAGGAATTTCATTAGTTTCTTCTAATCTTAGTTATCTTCTGTATCATCTGATATTGATTATGCATGTCCAGTTCTGCTACATGCTGATGAGAATCCATATGGACTGCAATGGTTGTTACAGAAAAGTAAGGAGAGCAATTCTCGATATTCGAGGTGAGAACACTTCCTTTTTCTAATCTCTAAACTCTTGGCTAGCTAGTAAAGTTGGCTAGAGCAGTCTTCTCCTTTCTGGCAGTTTAGATTGGATTATAAACTCTTAAGTTTTGTCACATAATTACATAAATATATATAATTTGTTTGTTCATTTTGTTATGCATAGAGTTGGAGACTCATTCGATAGAGAAGAAGGAGTGCAGGGTGAGCGTCTGCGGCAGATTTATACCGCAGGACGTAGCGATCAAGATAAGGAAGAAGACAAATCGCAGAGTTGAGATACTCGATATACAAGAGCTTATGAGCAGTAACACCACCACCAACGATCAAGAACACCTCCAAGATCAGACGCCACGTACGCCTTTGATCAGTTCTTGGAATAATGTCGTCTCGTACCCTAACCAAGTTGAAACTTTTTGTACAGAATCACACCACCGTTAAACTTGATTCGACTGATTAATGTGCATTTAAAACTACTGTAACCATCTTTCTTTACAGAGTTGGAGTATGCAGGATAACTTGTATTAGGTTAGAGAGACTGGTCAAGTTTGGTGTACATTATTTATATCCACTATTTGATTAAGAGATCGACTTAAGTATTTTACTTTGAGGCCAAACTACGTTTTATAATCCCCGTAATTTCATTTGATCTTCGACTTAAGGATTCTTAGTTTTGACATAAGGGGAGTCTTGCAGTTTGTTTAAGATTCCAACTTAAGAGAATCCATTCAATTAACAGAATGAAACTCACGTTTTTGTTAGATTTTTTTTTTTTTTGAAATATCATACGCACTTATACACATTTTTTCAAATTTTCATACAAACTAATATTTTAAGAAACTTGTCATATCAATTTTCTAAAATTAAGAATTTGTCATCTCACGCTAACTCCATTAAGTTTTTTATAAAAAAGAAAAGAAAAATGGTTTCAGAGTTGTTTTGGACTTTTGACCTCATTTTTGCAAATTCTTTTTATTTTTATACAAAAGTATATGTACACAAGGGGTGGGAAAATAAATTGAGGGTGGGAGAATAAATTGAGCTTGAGCTTTTGACCTTTTCAAAATTTCTGTACTTACAAACCTCAAAAACTTTGGCTAGTAAAATCAACATGTCAAGTTTGTTTAAAAAACTTATGATGAACTACTAAAAATTATATTAGGTTCACTGACAAGGAGTTTAAAATCCCCATTCAATTGTAACCCTAGTACAATCCCCAATTCGATTTCTGATTTCAATTTATGGTGTCAGTGCTCATGATATTTTCTTTTGATTTCTACATGATCTACTAGCTTACAATCAAAGAGATTTTTCAATGGTGCCTGAAACACAAGACGAGATACCAAATGTCAATATATAGTAAGAGGAACATTTGAAATTTTTTTCCTTCTAATTGTATGATAAAATACGGTGTTCTCCCATATCTTGACATACTAGAAAATGTGGCTTTTTTTTTTTTTTGAAAAGAAACGATAGTAGATTTCATTTCATCATAAATTGCATTACAAGGGTTGATCCATCTCTAAGCATAGAGCTACACATAGTCCTCGACAAGTATATCAGTTAAGATATTAGGTGGGGAACCGGTCCATTCACAGCTTTGCATCAGAGATAGGCCAACTTTTGCAAGGCGATGAGCAATAGGGTTAGCGTTTCAACGAATGTGCGTGATATTTGCTTCAGTGATTGTGTTCAGTAGAGCTTTGCAATCCTCCACAACTTGTCCGATGGGTGACAAATTGAGGGTAGGATCCCTCAGTGCCTCTACAATCTGAAGTGAGTTTGTTTCAATAAAAAGGAATTGATAACCCCTGTCCATCGCCCATAGCAAACTTGCCCTCAATGCCATAGCTTCCGAGAGCAATGGGGAGGATATATTTTCAAAGCTTCCAATACAAGTAGACATAAAAATACCATCACCATCCCTGATAATAGCACCAAAACCAGCAGCAAGGCTCGTTGCGTTCCATGACACGTCAACATTCATCTTGAGCCGCCCCTGGGGTGGGACAATCCATCTAGGGGGTGCCTCTCAATCTGCTATTTTGTTCCTCACCTGCGCTTATGGTTCTGGTAAACTCCAGCCACCATTAAATAGCATTAGTAGTGCATACCTCAGGAGAGTTCTCATCCCAGAGACTGTGCCCCCCCTCCCCCAGCCACCATTGAATAGCACTAGTAGTACATACCTCAGGAGACTCCAACTTCTCGTCCCAGAGAGACCGTGCCCCACCCCTCCCCCCCGGGGGGTAATTTCATTTGATCTTCGACTTAAGGATTCTTAGTTTTGACATAAAGGGAGTCTTGCAGTTTGTTTAAGATGTCAACTTAAGAGAATCCATTCAATTAACAAAATGAAACTAACATTTTGTTAGATTTTTTATTTTTATTTTTTGAAATATCATACGAACTTGTACACATTTTTTCAATTTTTCATACAAACTAATATTTTAAGAAACTTGTCATATCAATTTTCTAAAATTAAGAATTTGTCATCTCATGCTAACTCCATTAAGTTTTTCATAAAAAAAAAAATAAAAAAAAAAGAAAAAGAAAAAATAGGTTTCAGAGTTGTTTCGGACTTTTGACCTCATTTTTGCAAGTTCTTTTTATTTTTATTTTTATACAAAAGTATATGTACACAAGGGGTGGGAAAATAAATTGAGGGTGGGAGAATAAATTGAGTTTGAGCTTTTGACCTTTTCAAAATTTCTGTACTTACAAACCTTAAAAACTTTGGCTAGTAAAATCAACATGTCAAGTTTGTTTAAAAAATCTATGATGAACTACTAAAAATTATATTAGGTTCACCAACAAGGAGTTTAAAATCCCCATTCAATTGTAACCCTAGTACAATCCCCAATTTGATTTCTGATTTCAGTTTATGGTGTCAGTACTTATGATATTTTCTTTTGATTTCTACATGATCTACTAGCTTACAATCAGAGAGATTTTTCAATGGTGCCTAAAACACAAGACGGGATGTCAAATTTCAATATATAATTAGAGGAACATTTGAAATTTTTTTCCTTCTAATTGTATGATAAAATGCGGTGTTCTCCCATATCTTGACATACTAGAAAATGTGGCGTTTTTTTTTTTTTAATGAAAAGAAACAATAGTAGATTTTATTTCATCATAAATTGCATTACAAAGGTTGATCCATCTCTAAGCATAGAGCTACACATAATCCTCGACAAGTATATCAGTTAAGGTATTAGGTGGGGAACGGGTCCATTCACAGCTTTGCATCAGAGATAGGCCAACTTTTGCAAGGCGATGAGCAATAGGGTTAGCGTTTCAACGAATGTGGGTGATATTTGCTTCAGTGGTTGTGTTCAGTAGAGCTTTGCAATCCTCCACAACTTGTCCGATGGGTGACAAATTGAGGGTAGGATCCCTCAGCGCCTCTACAATATGAAGTGAGTTTGTTTCAATAAAAAGGAATTGATAACCCCTGTCCATCGCCCACAGCAAACTTGCCCTCAACGCCATAGCTTCCGATAGTAGCGGGGATGATATATTTTCAGAGCTTCCGATACAAGTAGCCACAAAAATACCATCACCATCTCTGATAATAGCACCAAAACCAGCAGCAAGGCTTGTTGAGTTCCATGACCCGTCAACATTCATCTTGAGCCGCCCCTGGGGTGGGACAATCGATCTGGGGGTGCTTCTCAATCTGCTATTTTGTTCCTCACTTGCGTTTGTGGTTCTGGTAAACTCCAACCACCATTGAATAGCACTAGTAGCGCATACCTCAGGAGAGTTCTTGTCCCAAAGATTGTTCCACCCCTCCCCCAGCCACCATTGAATAGCATTAGTAATACATACCACAGGAGACTCCAACTTCTCGTCCCAGAGCACCCCCCCCAAAAAAAAAAAAAAAAAAAAAAAAAAAAAAACCCAAATCACGGAGTGTCAGTGTTCCTCAAGAGCTGCGAGCCGCCGAGCTCATCCACGCACATTTCGCATAATGGCATTCCTTCATTAGGTGGATGGTAGATTCGCCAGATCTACCACACAATCTTTTACGTGGCTTTGTTCCGAATAAACATGCGCATGAATTTGAATTGACTGTTCAATGGCCTCTGTATCAAGTTTCAACATTTATCCAGAACCACTGTATATTTTGCTGCGACTAGTCAAACAGGTGACGACATCATTTCCTTTGCTGCTGGAGGAAGTACGAATCATTACGAAACGCGTTCGAATGATAAAACCTTATCCGGATAAATTTAACCGCGCTGCCAAACTCCGTCAAATCAATAAATTGAAACCCGCGGCAATTTCTTTGCACCTTCCGTACCTATATTATTGGACCTCTCTCGTTAATTTGGTTACATCCGGCCAAAATAAAAGTTTCGTTAAAATAAATAAATAAATATATATATTTTTTGTTTTTCAAATAATACAATTTAAAAAAATTATATAATTATTATTAATATTTAAAAAAATCTAATTATGCACTGCTTATCCTTTTATATGTCGTATCTGATCAATTGCAAATAAGGTCTCTCGAATGCTTTGGTTTGGAAAACTTCTTGATATAATTACAGATCTTCTTTTAGACGATAGTACAAACTTTGTAATTTTGTTGGTGCATGAAGCTCTTTTTCCTTTGACCTAGTTGAAATCTTCGATAAGTTTTTTTATTGAGAATCATTTAAATGCACCCATCTTTTTATATATATGTATAATTTTTGTTGTATCAATGAATATCGTACTTGTTCTAAAAAACTATTAAATAAAACGTAAATCGACATAACAAGACAATTTCGTACTAAAAGTACATACACACTGGAAAAAGCACTCCCAATTTCTAGAATATAACAAAAAAAGACAAATAACAACAAAATTTCTTTAGATCCAAACCGAAACATTTTCTGAAGCAATAAAAAGTAAGTAAATAAACAAATAAATAATAAAAAAATTAAAAAATCCCAAAATAGTATAACCACATGTCTCCAAGTTCAACAAACACAAGCTCATACTTTCTTATTTTGTAATCTACTTTTCTTTCCTCTACTGTGTTACAATTCCACTTACCCTCTTCCAACAAAAATGGCAGCAAAATTGGGTTCCTTCAAGTACACTTTCCAGGAGAAGAGAGAGCGGTTGCTCTCCGTCCAGAAGGGCTACTCCTACTCCGAGCTGGGTGGCTTCCCCAACATCGAGGAGCAAGAGCCGTCGTCGGGGTCTACCCGCTGCTGCACTTTCCGATCAGTCTCCGACCGAATTGTCGGCTGGTGCCGAACCGTGCAACATGTCTGGAAACGGGCGGTTCGGATGGGTCAGTCCGATCCGAGAAAGATCATCTTCGCCGCGAAGATGGGTCTGGCGCTGATGATCATCTCGCTGCTCATCTTCCTCAAAGAGCCGTTCAAGCAGCTCAGCCGCTACTCCGTCTGGGCAATTCTTACCGTTGTGGTGGTGTTCGAGTTCAGCATAGGTAAAATTGCTGTCTTGCCCATTCTCTTCGTTTTCGGGTTTATTTAGCAGTTTCGTCATCTGGGTCTTCGTCCTATTGGTTTTACGGCGGAACCTCA